AGTTACTCAGAGCTAGGGATGGGTACCTTTGACATTTGAATTTATTCGGTACTGATTCCCGGGACCTAGGAATCGATACCGGTTACTTAACGGTACCAGTTTTAGATACTTTTGAGTGTTTAATATTTTAATTCTCTTTTATCATAAAATATATATTTTTTTTCTCAATATATAACCATATTTGATAAATATTACGATAAATAACATACAACTGTTTGTATTTTAACATCGTCCTTGTAGTTTTATAAGCTGATAATTAAACTGAAGCAAACGTCTTTTCTGTGAACTAAATTTACTGTGTATCTTCATTCCTTTTGCCGTCCTTTTTCTTTGATTTTTCCTACTGGGAAGTTAGAATTTCCGAGGAGAAAGTGAACGCACCATTAGCTGATAACAACGGTGGCAATGGAAGCTAACGTTATCTTAAACAGTTTATTTAGCTGCTGGAGCAGATTAAAACAATGATGCCTCACACTTGGATTGTTGTCGCTGGTTTCATCTTCACCCAATCACCCGTCGCATTTAGTAAAGTGAAGCCGAACTTTAGAGCGCGTTCATGTTCTTCTAGTCGGAAATTCGGAGTTCCGAGGAGAAAGTGAACACACCATTAGCGCAATGGAAGCTTACAAATCAAGCTAACAATATCTTAAACATTTAATTTACCTACCGAAGCAGATTGAGATGAGGATGTCTCACTTTGATCGTTGTCGCTGGTTTCATCATCACCCAGTTACCCATCACATTTAGTGAAGTGGACCCAAGCTTTAGCTTTTGTTCTTTATACCCACGCTGCTCTGTTTACAACTCGCTCGCAGGGACCGATGACATAACGCTCTTGCGCAGGTGTCTAGGCAAGTTCTCGTTATGAAGGACGGGTACCGAAACGAGGGACCGTTTCAAATGACGTGAATCAGTGCTCAGTCGGTACTAGGGCTGCAACAACGAATCGATAAATTCGATGAAAATCGATTACTAAAAGTATTGGCAACGAATTGCGTCATCGATTCGTTGTGTTACGCAACTCTTCCAAAAGCCCCCTCCCCTCCTGCCCGCCGTTGCGCGCAGACCGGTGGAGAGCCGGCAGGTGTTTGTAAGAGGAACATGGCAGAAGCAGCGAGACCCCAAAAAAGTAAAAACTTCTAAAGTTAGGGAGCATTTTCAGTTAAATCAGGCGAAGACATGCAACGTTTGTAGGTCAGACTTAGCATGGCACGGGGATACTACGGTGATGATGCAGCGTCTTAAACGCAAGCATGTCAGAATCATCAGCGAGGAAGGAGAGAGCTCGGTGTCCGGGTAAGTTAAAAACTTTTCAAAAGTGATTCACCCAACCCCCGGATTATTACACACGCTAGACATGCCCTAAGCTCGTTAAAAAAAGTCTATAAAATTGTAAGCACGACGCTATTAGATAGGCGGGGGGGGGGGGGGGGGGGGGGGACTCGCGCCGCTGCGAACCGGTTCCGCCGTCACATTCCCGCAGAAACTGGTTGATCACACCGGGGCCAGACTACTAACATGTGGCTTTACAACCACAGTGTCCTCGGAAGCAAAAACGCTTTTAAAAGGAAGGGAGGAATCCTAACTGTTGCTGCAGGCGTGTTGTGTGAGTGTGCAGTTATATACTGGTTAATATATTTTTGGGTTCAGTTGCTTTCATGTGGCCTAATGTGAGTCTATTTGGGCAGGGCCGGCTCTGGGTAATTTGGTGCCCAAGGCGAGAGTGCCCATATTGTATGCGTACTTAAAACTTGAAACAACATTCATAAAAGGCTGCAATCAAGCTCCAAAAACCAGTAAAAAATCTTACATTCTTCATCATCACAGTGAGACTCAACATTGTCTCACTCAGGGTATCTGCAGGTTTAAGGGAGCCAAATTTAAGACTTTTTAAGACCTTTTTAAGGCCACTTAGACCAAATTTAAGCTACTTTTAAAATTAAATTTAAGCTATAATTTCCAGCTATTGCCTGGAACCGGTGCTAACCACGTGGCGAACGTAGGATTAGCCATCCAGTTACCATTAAACTAGTGGGAACTTGCCCTTCCCCATGGCGCAAGCTCCCACTAGCTTAACCAGCTAATGTGCTCATCTAAAAATAGCCCCCTTTCACAACCAACTGAATGTGTATGGTTCCGCTTATGCCAACCATTATACACAAAAAATGCTGAAGACTAACTAGAAATTCAGGAAAACAAAAGGATCTTGTTTATTGGGTCTTTGGTAATTTAAGACCTTTGGAAACTGTATTTAAGGATTATTTGTCATTTTTAAGGATTTTTAAGGCCTTAAATTTGGAAAAGCTAATTTAAGACTTTTTAAGACTTTTTAAGGACCCGCTGATACCCTGCTCACTGCATCTGGACACGACGATTCAAAAGTAAAATGAATGGGTTAAAGTTACAGATACTGTATTGTGAATGTAAACAGCTAGCGAGGGTCCGTCCGTGGACCGTGCGTGACAGGAGAGGCAGTTAGCTACAATGCTAACGCAAAAAGTTCCTTTGCAAAACTTATAAAGTCTACATACCTCTGCTTTGGGCCCGTTTTTATTCTTCTTCCTTCCTTCGCTTTCGGAATGCTGATCCCGATGGCTTAGGCGTTCTTTTCATCATAAAATGTCAAACGTTTAAACGCGACGACAACAGGAAGTCCTTCTACAGTGCTGCCCACACACGTGATCTAGCTATGGCAACCTTAACGGTCAAATGCATTGGAGCGGTGGCTCAAGCGGGAGCTCGAAATGCAGCCAGATCATTAGAATTTAAATATTGATGTTTTAATTTCATGTCATTTCAAAGGGGAATTTTCAGTATGTAGAGAGTGCATTTCATATTACAAACATGAATTTAATGAACTTTTTTTTTTTTTTTTTTTTTTTTTTTTAAATTTTGCGCCCTATCCATCAGATGGCGCCCCAGGCGGCCGCCTGTGTCGCCTGTCGACAAAGCCGGCCCTGTATTTGGGATCATTGGAATGATCAGCAACATTTCTTGATGTGACTTTATGGCAGTTGCCCAGGGCATCATCGCAAGGAGGATGGCATTCATTTATTTTTGTTTTATTTGGTATTGTTTCAGTCATTTTTGGAAATAGTGATTAATTTTGATTAATTCACAGCCTATGTTTAATTACATTTAAAAATTAGTTGTTTGACATCCCCAATTATAATAAATGTCTACAGATGAGATCAAACAAAACAGATGAGAATTGCCCTTAAAGAACAAGTCACCCCCAAATAAACTTTTTTTTGCTGATAAACTAAATAAACTAGTGTCTAATCGTGCTGCAGACACGTGTCATCAATAATTTGGCACTTCAGTGCATCTTAGTTAAAATTTAAATATTCTGCCTCAAACTGGCAGTGTTGTGCCGTTGTCAGGTAAAAACTCTGCACTGTATTTTAATTTAAATCTGCCACCGCTATTGGCTAAGAAGTTTGCTATGATGTAAACTGGTACATTATGATGTCACAATGCTGTCGTGAGCCTGAGTGTGTGTGTATTTGTTAGCAGGTCTGCCAGGCAACAGCATGTGTTGCATTTTTCAAACATGAAGCGGGAGTGGAGTTAGACTCTGGTAGGGGTTGACTTGCTCTTTAAGCTGTTTAACTTGGACCAAGCATTTTAGGTCACAGATAGGTGTAGCTTAGGGTCTCTGTCTATACACCTTATAAGACAATTTAGGTGATGGCATGTTGTTTTTCTGCTATTGAACTGTTTTCTAATAATGGTGTGTTTAATAAAGTGAAGGAAGGAGAAAAATAACGTTTCCCTAGCAGTTTTTAAAAATGTCCCTATGTAATCCGATTAATCGTGTCGAGACCCCATCCGATTAATCGATTATCCAAATAATCGTTTGTTGCAGCCCTAGTCGGTACTATGGAATTCGGTCGGTACCTTAAAAAGTACAGAATTCGTTACCCATCGCTACTCAGAGCCACTGTAGAAGGTCCAGCCTGAGTTAAGCTGTGGTAGCTGGAGAGGAACTGAGAAACAGCATTAATGCGTTTGCTGTTTGCTTGTTCAAGTTTAATTCAAATAGAATATATAAGACATCAATTATATAATAATTGTATGTATATTTAACAGTCATGTTAGAGATAAAAGGCAGAATAGGTTAAAAAAAAAACATTTTAACTATCTGGTTACATTAAAGTTTCACGTCCAGTGAGCAGTCTCTGTCCCACATGTGATGAGTTGGGATCTGGTCCTACTTAAGAATAATTACATGAATTTGGAATATTTTCAGATGTTTTTATGTTTGGTGTTTTGTGAAATTAGTTTCATAATAATAGTTAATTATTATATGATGATTCCTAATCATTATATGATTAGTTATTTCAATTTATTATATTTAGCTCTCTTGAACAGTAGGACTGGTAGAAAATTGCTTGCATTTAGCAAAAACACCACATGAAATTTTTTTTTAAATATTCTCAATAAAATAAAAGTATATAAATGTCAGAGGTCACTACAAAACCCACTGTAGAATAGATGCACATCTGCAGCACTTGAGGACCTTGTTTGGGGGGAGTTATTTTAGTTGTCACTTTATTCACAGCCTCGGAGTTCGTGGCTATGAAAAATAGATGAATGTAAACAAAAAAATATATATATACTGTTCTTCTATGCGTGCGGTTTGCATTTTTGTGCCACTTGGCTTTATGTATTATTGCTACAGCCTCGCTGTCCCGGATGTGACGTAACCCAACATGAAGTGGAAAACGAAGCGATGCAGTATTTAAAAACAATATATGAGTGTTTAACAGTTGATTAGTTCTTTGCGATAGTCTTAATTTAATTTTTACAAGGTCTTAAAAAGTCTTGAAAAAGTCTTAAATTTAATTTTGAGATTCCTGCATATACCCCGGACATCCAAATTTACTTTTTCAGTGTTTTCCCCAGAGGTTTGTAGAAAACTGAGTTTCTATAAGAAAATATTGACACTGTCCATGTACTGAAACTGAAATGAATCAACTCTTTTGCTCATTTTTCAGGTGGAGAAACCATCAAAAACATCAAAGAGCAGTCTCGTGCCCACGTGGAGCTGCAGAGAAACCCGCCGCCCAACACTGACCCCAATGTCCGCATCTTCTCCATCCGAGGAACCCCTCAGCAGTTGGAAAAAGCCCGTCAGCTGATCGATGAGAGAATTGGGGTAGGTGGTCCACCCCACCCTTTTCTTTTAAAATGCTATTGTCTGGCCTTATATTCATGAGCACACATGTCAGTTCAGGGAGCTTCTGGGCTGCTGTGGTTCTGATGGCTAGCAGAATGTCACCAGAGGTTAAACATGAAGAATCCATCAAATGGACTTAATGGAGTGCATCAGCGCTCGCCCCTGCCCTTTGACCTTGCCTGTTGGCTCCCTTTAAACACAAGTGTGGTCTCTCACTCACCTCCTCTTTTCTTTTCTCCTCTTCAGGGCCCAGGAATCAGCAGCAACAGCAGCTTCGGTGTGAATGCTTACAACCAAGGACCAACTACTCCACCTCAACAGTAGGCTCCTCTTCAGATTTAACAGTATCCGATCACCGGGTACTCACACAGACCGTTTTTCTTTCAGTGGCCCTCAGATGTTTATGACTGGAGGATGGGGTACAACCTTTCAGATCTGGCAGCCTCAAGGCCAACAAGACCAGAGTAAGTATTTAAAGTGCAGCTAGTGGTGTTAAATTATTAACACACACAAATAAGCAACTAATAAACCGGTTATAATACAGACCGATTGACTTTATATGCAAGCAAAATCGTTTTAGCTTTTTATTGGACCTGAAATGGGACTAAAATAGTGCAGGGATGAGACGCTCGCATTTCCTCGCAACTAACCGCGCTTCTCATACAGACACACTTAAGTTTTCTGTCAGTTGAATTCATTTGGAAGCAGAATTACTAAAAAAAGGACCAGGAAAAAAAGAGAAGCAAAAACCTGCTCTCACTAAATCTGGTCGTGTTATCTGTGTCTGGTTTCAGGTCACAATGGATCCCAGACGGGCCAGATGGACTGGGACCAGTATTATAAAAAGCTAGGCAAGAGTCACTCAAGAACAAAAGAATACTTGGCATCCAGCTTAAGCTTGAGTTTACTTTGCTTTATCAACCAAGTTTAAATTTAAATCTCATTAACACAACATAATAACAGTTCCCTCACACTTTTGTAGAAGCAGCATTTTTAAACCAAAGCAAAAAGCAGCCTTTGAGATTTTTAGAAAGGAAGATTCAAACATCTGTTTGCTTTCAGCAGGTCAGCAGAATCAACCCCAGAGCTCTGCCCCTGATTACAACAAGACCTGGGGTAGGTCCTCGAGGAAGTTTTTCATTATCAGCACATCTTAAACAAATATCTGGTTTTTAATTTGGCTTTTTGCTCTCGTTCTCAGGCCAGACAGCTGGTCCTGGATCTCAGCAGACCTCTAATCCAGACTACAACGCCTGGGTTGATTTTTACAGGCAGCCGATGGCCTTCTTCAACCAGAGCGCTCAGCAGACACCAGCCCCAGGCCTTCAGGTGAGATCTGACTCCCGGCTCTGCACCGACATGTGTCACAACGGATTTCACAGCACAGATGTTTGCGTGTGTGTGTGAGGGGGTGAGGTTTTGATGTTTGCTAATCTCTTTAGGAGGGTAAAAACAGTCACTCCATTAAAATCAAAAGCTTGTGTGTAATATGAGTTGCATCTCTTTAAAATTTAAAATTTTTGTAAATAATGAAGTGATTAAGTTTCTGTATTAATGTTTGGATGGGATCACACTTTTGGAACAGAAATGTGATTGTTTTATGGTCGTTCAGCCCTTTCCATAAAAAATTAAACACAAGTTATTAGGACTATTTTTAGAATCGGTTACTCAGTTGACTACGTTTTTTGACTTTTTGAATGATCTAAACAATTTTCCTTCATAATTCAAAATTGTTTAAAGTTTAGTCAAAAATAGAATGTTAACATAAACTTATAGATTTATGCCTACATGTTTTGGCTGTTATCAGTTAAAAATCATATTTATATATCAGACGTCACATATTTAACTGAATTCATCATATGGGTTATAAATGCATCTGAACTAAAGGGTTATCCATTAAAGAGAAAATAAAGCACCTTTTTCATATTTTAAGTCATTTGCTTGAGCCGGTATGTGCTTCAATGATTCTTAACAAGGTTAATGAAATGTCACTTAGACCCCAACCGCCCTCTGTGGCCAGAAAACAACACTTGCAACTTCAGATTGCCCGTCCAGTCTGTTGGACTTTAAAAAAAAAAGGAGCTGACATACCTGGTGCTGCTTCTTGCTTCCAGCATGTTTACTGCATGTTTTAGATCATAACACTGCTGATTTGCTTTTAGTGATGAACCACTCCTGTAGAAACTAAAGAATGCCAGAAGACGTGGCAGCTGTTACATTAAGGTGTTAAAAAGACGAACGCGCAGCCAGGAGATAGGCTTTGCTTTTGGTTCTACAAATGGACACTAGAGGGTGTTAAAAGCAACAACAGGAATAAGTTGGCCAGTGCACGCACGCTTGCGCGTGCACACACACACACACAGTGTAAACCAAACATAGGACCAGATCTTATTCTCAATCTTTCTTTTGACGCTAACGGGCAACTTGTCTCACTTGAATTTAACAGCCTAATAAAATGTTGGGTTCCTTTTGCAGCTTGTTTTTTGGAATTAATATTACACCTTTTAAACAACACTAAAGTTTTCAGTTTCTCACTTCTATTGGTTTAAAGCGGAATTACAGCTGCAGTAAGCAACCATGCTGTGGCTAGCACTAAAGAAGTGCTAATGCTAACAGGAGCCAACTAATTAATAAGCCATGAAGTATAAAGATCCAAAATGTATGAAAAAACTTGCAACAATTTCAGCGACCAAGCTAGGTCACCATCAGTCTGTGATTTTATTTTGTTCAGCCTCCTTCAGCTCCCTGAGAATTGTTGGCCGCACCTATGTTCAATCTGCTTTTAGCTCTTTGCTTTGCTTCCAAAGTTCCTACTCAAACCACAAAACTGAGTGAAGTTTCTGGTCAGCAGAGGGCTACAGAGTGCTGTTCAATGTGAAGTTGCTCAAGTTTATGCCTCAAGAACCACTGAAACCATTTAGAAAACAAGTTTTAGATTAAGGGAGCCAAGCCAATTTCTGAGCTGACAGAACTGCACATTTGGTTGTTTTTTTCCCGTAAATTTTTATTTTTATTTTTTACTTTTTCCCTTCCGTAGCAGTTCTACAGCCGATATTAATAATAGCTGTAGTAGGGCTGGGCAGTACAGGTCCTTCTCAAAAAATTAGCATAATGTGATAAAGTTCATTATTGTCTGACTGATAAACCGATAACTGATAAACATTAGACTTTCATATATATTAGATTATTTACACACAACTGAATTAGTTCAAGCCTTTTATTGTTTCTAATAGTGATGATTTTGGCATACAGCTCATGAAAACTCAAAATTCCTATCTAAAAAAAATTAGCATATTTCATCTGACCAATAAAAGAAGTGTTTTATTACAAAAAAGTCAACCTTCAAATAATTATGTTCAGTTAATTATTATTGCACTCAATACTTGGTCGGGAATCCTTTTGCAGAAATGACTGCTTCAATGCGGCGTGGCATGGAGGCAATCAGCCTGTGAACTGCTGAGGTGTTATGGAGGCCCAGGATGCTTCGATAGCGGCCTTAAGCTTATCCAGAGTGTTGGGTCTAGCATCTCTCAACTTTCTCTACACAATATCCCACAGATTCTCTATGGGGTTCAGGTCAGGAGAGTTGGCAGGCCAATTGAGCACAATAATACCATGGTCAGTAAACCATTTACCAGTGGTTTTGGCACTGTGAGCAGGTGCCAGGTCGTGCTGAAAAATGAAATCTTCATCTCCATAAAGCTTTTCAGCAGATGGAAGCATGAAGTGCTCCAAAATCTCCTAATAGTTAGCTGCATTGACCCTGCCCTTGATAAAACACAGCGGACCAACACCAGCAGCTGACATGGCACCCCAGACCATCACTGACTGTGGGTACTTGACACTGGACTTCAGGCATTTTGGCATTTCCCTCTGCCCAGTCTTCCTCCAGACTCTGGCACCTTGAATTCCAAATGACATGCAACATTTGCTTTCATCCGAAAAAAGTACTTTAAACCACTTAGCAGCAGTCCGTCTGTAGGGGAATGCGGCACCTGTAGCCCATTTCCTGCACACGCCGGTACACGGTGGCTCTGGATGTTTCTACTCCAGACTCAGTCCACTGCTTCCGCAGGTCCCCCAAGGTCTGGAATCGGTTCTTCTCCACAATCTTCCTCAGGGTCCGGTCACCTCTTCTCGTTGTGCAGCGTTTTCTGCCACACATTTTCCTTCCCACAGACTTCCCACTGACGAGCCTTGATACAGCACTCTGGGAACAGCCTATTCACTCAGAAATTTATTTCTGTGTCTTACCCTCTTGCTTGAGGGTGTCAATGATGGCCTTCTGGACAGCAGTCAGGTCGGCAGTCCATGATTGCGGTTTTGAGTAATGGACCAGGCTGGGAGTTTTTAAAAGCCTCAGGAATCTTTTGCAGGTGTTTAGGGTTAATTAGTTGATTCAGATTATTAGATTAATAGCTTGTTTAGAGAACCTTTTCATGATATGTTAATTTTTTGAGATGGGAATTTTGGGTTTTCATGAGCTGTATGCCAAAATCAACACTATTACAAACAATAAAAGGCTTGAACTACTTCAGTTGTGTGTAATGACTCTAATATATATGAAAGTCTAATGTTAATCAGTACATTACAGAAAATAATAAACTTTATCACAATTTGCTAATTTTTTTTAGCAGGACTTGTAAATTGAAAATTTATCGTTACTGAAATTTCTGACTTATCGAGATGATTTTTCCCATGTCAATAAATGTGATAATAAAAAATGAAAAGTTGTGTGTAGGTTGGCAGCATTCATTTACCTTTAAGTAGCTGTACCACCTTGACTCACGTAAAAATGTGACTCAACGTAATACATTTGACAGCCCCATCTAGTGGACAACTTCTATTTCTGCCCACACCTGTAGTTATCGTACATTTGTCATTATCGAGGTGAAATCCTCATATCTGGATATTGGTTTTAGGCCATATCGCCTAGTCTTAGGCTGTAGCAGTCTGTCCCTCCACTGTTTGTTAGTGTTAGATTAGAGACAGCGAACCGAGATTCACTGCAGAAACCCTAAGTAGACTTGAATGATAAATGACCTGTACTTGTATAGCACCTTTCAGAGTCAGAGGACTCCAAAGTGCTTTACACTACAGTGTATTATGACTTTCCAATTCTATAAACTCCAAAAATCTCTACAGAAACACCCAAAAGTGTTGCTCAGATTGAAGCGACACATCTCCACTGTCTTCTGGTGTAAAGCTGTAACGTAATGAGCGATTAGATTTGGCTCGTTAAACGCAGTATTGTAGCTTTGGTGCTTAACTGGTTATTTTTACAGTCATAATGTTGTGGTTCTAAATATTGACAGAATTTCTTGTAGTGTTTCGGTTTTCAGCCGCCTCTTCGTGTTTTCTCTTTCGGCCAAGATTTTTCATTTGGATGCATCCCTAGAAATGATGTCATGTTTGTAAATGTTGCATTGTGAATCTTGAGCTGAAGTTTGATTTGGAAACAAACGTAAATTGAATTGAAATTGCAGTTTCTGCCTGACCAGTTTCAATCCAGACTTACTCTAAAATCATTCGGCCCTGCTTCACTCCGCGTGTGTCTGTTTCTCCGGGCCGTTTCAGGGGCCTCTTACTAATTGGTTGTAACACAATAAAAAAGTACATATATCTAAAATACCAGAACCCTTTCCTTCAAACTGACCGTTTCTGCTTTCCTGCAGGATCACTAGAGACGACGCCCTGGTTAAAGACTTGAATCGCAGGATGAAACGACCCTTTTTTAACGGAGGGGTTCTAGATTTACAACGCCTTGAAGACTTTTTTCTTAGTGAGAAACACTAGCTGTAGAATGACTTGTATGATTAAGTAATATTTCTTAAAAAAAAATCAGGAACATTTATTTGTTACTAAATGCATATGTACACTGTTATTTTGAATAGACAGTATCTGGGATCCCTTTTTGGACTTGAGAGAGCTGCTTTGTTGATCTATTTTTCCTGTCTTGACTCCGATTGTAAGCGCCAAAATGAACCCAAGAGTTGTGTAACATTTCAAAAGGCAATATGATCTATTTTTTCTAGTTATGTGGAAATGAAACGATGATTTTTATGTGCTTAGCAGTCTTGAATACGGTTTTGTCACATCGTAAAATGTTTAAAAGCGTGTGTTTAAAATGTTTTCCTTTTACGTAATTCAGTGAAATGAAACTGTGATGTTTTGTTACAGCAAATGTATTTTTGTTACAAGGTTTGAAAGCAGATTTAATGTCAGCCAGTGGCGCTAGTTCTAATTTAATTCCTCTTGTGCGTTGTATGCTGTTTTTTCCATTGTCATTTTATTGTTCTCTGGTTTAAAAAGGTGCAATATCTTATTTCACTTTTGAAACAAAGATGGTTTCTCTAATATTTTGACGGACTTTTAACTTGTAGTTTTAAGATAATATTTTTTTCCTATTTTTGAAATTGAGATGTCATGGATAATTTATTACAGTGATTTGATATGATAGGATTTAGGGGGATGTTGCAAATAGCTTTTTTGCCTTTACTACCTTGTAAAACAATGTGTATATATATATATATGCTCATATATTTGACTGTTAATTTAAATATATATGTTTCATATATATATATATTATAGACACTTATAAAATAATTTTTCCTGTGATCTGCGTTGCAGGAAGGTTGTCCCTCTGTTTTCTGTTCTGTTTTTCTTACTGAAAATGTTCAAAGATTGTGAATGTGTGATTTTTTTTTATTTTCTTTTGAAATTCGATGTTGCATCTTGTTCTGAAGAAAAACAAGAAGTGGTAGATTATTTTGTGTGTGTGCGTTCACTCTGTATCTACAAACTATTCAAGACTGCTAAGCTTCTGCAATTCGTACCTGTGTAATAATGTAGTATTTTTCTGTTTTAAGTATTATGATCAAAAACTTTCTTATTTGGTACCTCCCAGTTCGCCAGCGTCCCACAGAGCCCTCGCCATGGACTCTGTGGGACGCTGGACTCAGTCCAATGCTAATAACGTTTTAATTAACTAAGTTTTTTATTTCTTTGTGTGATCTAATATAAATGATTCATCATTATAGAGAATGATTCTGGTATTAATGTCATTTCTTAATGAAAAGGGATATAATTTCAAAATGTCTAATTATGGTGTTTATTTTCCTGCGTGTGTACAGTTAACCGTGTATTAAAAACATCCAGACTACCTTTACGTGTACTGTTGAAGATGATTTTATGTTAGATTAATATTCTAAACAGTTGGATGTCTTTTGTTGTATTCTGCTACTAAAAGTGTTGAAACTGAAAGCTCTACTGTGTGTAATACCAGATGAAACCTAGAGGATCTATAGGCCAAATGTATGTTTTCTTGTTTTATAAGAAGAAAATATATATTTTCTAGAGTCTACTGCCAGTTCTCAAACTCAAATAAATTTTCCGCAAGCCTCCCTTGTGGTCAAGTTGTGCTGAATTTTCGATGCTTTCATCCCATCGCCGCATGGCTAAGGAAAATGGAACGAAACATTCATAATGTTCTTTTCCCCCAAAATTGTTGGATTAATTTGCAGAAAAGCGTTAACAAGCTGTTATTTAACCCTCTGGAGGCAGATGTTGCAGATTTGCAACAGTTAAAACCTACCTACCTGGTTACTCCACATACGTATTTCATGAGCATTTTTTAACTCTGAAGTACCCTGAAGGACTTGGTGGTTCATCCTTTTATCAAAACTTATTTTGAGCCTGAGAGGGTTAAGTGTAGAAACCAACTTTCTTGCACTCTTCTCTTTATGTTGGCTGCTTCCCGTCCACTGGCCTCTCCCTTTCCACTTCCAGATCCCCTCCAGCTCTGTCGCTGCACATCTTTTCCCTCAGCAGGGAGGCTCCTGCTTTGATGCCGTGCAGCTGTTTTCAAATCCAACCCTTGATCCATCCCCTCTCCCAAACATCTCGTCCCTGTGGACACGTCAGACCTGCTGGTCTTTTGTGGGCCGTCGTCTTCGTGATTTTGGAGCTTTCATTGACTGAGGTTACTTTGACTGTGGGTATTTTTGTTTATTTTGTACAACTGATAAAAGCTGCTGCTATGATGAAAAAAAGGGCAAAAAAAATCCTGAATAACAGTGTAGTGGAACATAAAAATTTTGATTATGAAAAGGGAATTTGTATTTTATAATGCGTTGAGCAAACTTTTATAAAGCGTAAAAAAATGGGGCGTTTTGTCAAAACTCTATAATAAAGCTGAAAAAAACTGTATTTAACTTTACCTTTACTTGGTTGTAAAATTTGATAAAAACTAAAAATGAAATTTTATTATATCTGAAACAATTTGTGTGAATTTGATAACTTAGGATTAAAAGCTTTGTACTCGATTTCAACTTTACATTTTTATGTTGATTTATAAAAAGGCCTCTAGACCATTTAAAACATGTTTACTTAAAATCCATTTTATTTTAGTGCGGTTTATATAATCAGATTTGATGATATATTTAAATTATTAAAGCCAAACGACTTTTACTGCTGTGACTTTTAAAACGTCACAGAGCAGGCCATCTAATGGTTCTTTCAGTAAAACGTGATATTTGTGATTTTAAAGCGTCTGTAAAACGATGAGAAGATGCAGATTTTAAATGGAGAAAATACATTTTTAGGGATTTTTAATCACATCTAAAACATTTGATAACTTCCTCTGATCCAGACATGGATCAGCTGTCCTCCACTGATGACGTCTTCGTTGGTGCCCATATTTGTCTTCAACAATCCTCTTTTGTCCATGAGGAAAGTCATCTAAACAAACTATCATTGCCTTCTAAAAGATCCTTAACCCAGTTCGTCTACTAAAAACGATATTTGAAAAAAAAAATTGCTGTTTTGTCCTGGTGCGTAATTACCCACACCTCCACTTCCAGCAGGTGTCCCGTCTCCTCCTTGTCCTGTCAATCAACACTGAGGAGGAGGTGAAGTGGTCCCTTTGGGGGAGGAGGGTCTGCGCTGCTCTCACCTTTGCTACAGATAAGCTGATCCTGAGTATCCAGCACACTGAGGCAGCACCTTAATCTGTTTTTAATGACGCTCTGAGGAGAATCCCCGGAGACCCTGCGCTGCAAGTGTGTGTGTTTCAGTAAGAAAGCTAGGATAGGAGCCTTTTAAAAAAATAAATTCCCATTTAATGTTTCCCTTTTAAAACTTTTTTTTTTTGACTAATAAACCAAACGGTGTTTTGTCCCCTTCCTCCCGCAGCTCCTCCCTCATTTATGAGCGTAAAGCTCCACAAACAAACGCTTTCCCACCAGCGCTTTGAAATCCAACCATTACCACATTCTTTGTGCAATAATTGTCAATCATCCACATTAAATTGATAGGCTTTAAATGGACACAATGATGGCTTAAATTGTCTTACAATGGAGCGGCTAAGCGGGATGATTTGCTATTGCGGACATGCCCGCGGCTTTACCAGCTCCAGATAAAGCCACAGGTTAATGCATAAATAAGCAAATCAAATCCGCGCGTTACCCCAATTCAATTCATTTAATTCCTCTTTAATAAAGAAGCGGGCCCACCTCCTCCCCGACCTCCCCCCACCCAGCCCAGACCCTTCTCCATCCCGGGATTTGGTGCCATGAATGCCATAAATGTAAATCAATCTAGATGAGAAAGAATCCCATTGAAAGAGCAGAGAAATTTCATCTGGGAACAGGGAGGGGCCGCTCATAAAAAGCAGCTGTTTCACAGTAATCTTTTTTCGTGCCCTGTCACTCACCTTGCCTTTTTTCTATCTCTGCTGCTCCAAAAAGATGAGAAAAACTCTCCTTTTGTATTTACTCCCCATATCTTCTTTTCCCGTTACTTTGCCCCAGTTCATACCCGTGCAAAGACGCACAGAGAGAGAGAGAAAGCTCAAACTTGCCCATTTTTCCCCTTCTTTTCTCTCTTTCATTTTTTTCGGACAATCCCCCTTGTAGTTGTTGGAGTGAAAGGACGAGTGCATGGATGTCAAATTGCACTCAAAACACCATGAAAGATTGATTTGCAGCACTTTTCAGGGCCCTGACATTACTTGGAGGGGAGCTGAATGGGAAACCTGTGAGCTGGGGATGGAATAAAGATGTCCTCTGCTGAAAAAGAAGGAAAACTGCCCATTTAGCCCCAGTCCATCAAGCCCGAAAAATGGGCAAGAGAAGGAAAGTAAAAAAACAGAGGAGAGAAGAAAGGAGGCCATATATACTCATCTTAAACGTAGCCACAATACCGAGGGGGCTCCGAACATCCATGAATATTAAACCGCTTACCTCAACAAGGGCTTGAAAAAGTGCAGCACGTCAAAGCAGCTTTGCATTTTTTGGTGAGGGAACAATGCTGGGAAAGAAAAACGCTTGTTTCTTGTCATTCCCGCGCTAACTCGCCACACAAAAAAATTAATATTACCAGCAAATGAATACAAAGTGCCTGAGAAGAAAATGGGAGAGCAACTCCCAGACTCCCTTGACCCATCCATCCATCCATCCATTTTCATCCGCTCCGCTCATGGAGTCGGGTCGCGGGGGCAGTAGTCGAGAGGCCCAGACTTCCCTCTCCCCAGCCACTTGGGCCAGCTCCTCCGGGGGAATCCCAAGGCGTTCACTGGCCAGGTGAGAGACACCGTGTCCTGGGTCTACCTTCAGGTCTCCCCCCGGTTAGACGTGCCCGGAAAACCTCCCCAGGGAGGCGTCCAGGAGGCATCCTGATCAGATGCCGAGCCACTTCAACTGGCTCCTCTCTCTGACCCATTTCTGCGCATATATATATATATATATATATATATATATATATATATATATATATATATATATATATATATATATATATATATATACTTTCTTTTTCATCCGGATGCAACTTTACGCGCAGAGCAGATGCGCCAAAGCGCAAATTCACAAATTCGATCAATTATTTTTAACTTTCCTGCACTTTTAAAAATGTATTTTCTGTACATTTACCAAATATCTGCGCTTCTTGCAAAACATTCTAATTAGATAAGCCCCTTTGAGTAGAAATAATGACAAAAATAAAGTTTCACGTGCCCCCCTCTCTCCTGCGCGCGCCCCCTCCCCCGTGGCGGTGCAGCAGGCAGGTCCTCTCTGTGAGGGGTGTGTCATTAATAAGTAATTAGACAGGGGTCACAGCTACGTATATAAGGGGATCCTCGCAGGCTGGCGCAGCAGCTTTCCTGCGCAAACCCGCTTTGGAGCAGGACTGACGAGCAGCGCTCCGCCTGGAAAACGGTCCAAAAACCGCAGACTCTCACGCAACATGGGCTCCGTGCTGCCCGCAGACGCTTTGGCTCTCAAGTCTGGATTTAAGTGTCCCGGCCGCTCGCTGTCGGAAGTGATCACCTCGGACATCCTGCACAGCTTCCTGTACGGCAGGTGGAGGAACGTGCTGGGGGAGCACCTGACGGAGGAGCGGCAGAGCAGCAGCAGTCCCAAAACCGCCTTCACAGCTGAGGTGCTGGCCCAGTCCTTCGCTGGAGGTATGTGTAGGACCTTCTGTTCGGATCTGAACCCAAAACTTAACATTTCTGTGTTTTACTGTCATTTGAACCCGATGTTGTTCTGATCCACTTGTGCGTAAAATGCGCGTTTGATTTTTACGCATTTTTGAGGGAGAGATTTTCAAGCAATATAATTTTTTTTATCGCGCAAAATTAAATGTAATTGACTGAAACGGGTGTTCCCCCTAAAAACGTGTGTGTAAAATTCGAGACCTTCCCAGCTGAGCTTCTCCGGCACCTTTATCCCCAAACTTTTTCTCATCCAAAGAATGATTTCCATCCTCTTTCAGCTTCTCGCTGCTTTTATTCACAGCCATTTAACGCGTTAACCCCTTCCAGGCTCAGTTTGGAAGCTTGTTAGGCGTGTAACTGCGGCCGCAGAGCATTAAATTCATTCGGTTAACTTTGTGCTTGACCTGGGAAAGTTTCCACTTAAACCTGGAGGAGAAAAGGGTGTCCTTTCTTTGAGATGTCTCGAGGTTTTTATCCCGCATTCATCAATCTCCGGACAGTCTCTTTTCCTCTCTTGGCAGCTATGGGGCTCCGGAGCCTTTCTCTTTCTCTCCCCTTAAAAAGATTTGCTGTTCCTCGCATAATGCGCCGTGAAGGCTAAATCTAATGCTATTCATTGCATGTCAACCATCTAATCGCCTTTCCATTTTTTGTTGCAGAAATTCCTGAGTCTTTTAAACAAGTCCTCGTGGCATTCAGCGCAAATTTATTGCGACAAAGTTCTTAAAAGGATAATGAATTTGGAATTAGCCGTTCCCTTTTCCAGTAAACTTTAATGAATATCACATCTGAAGCATGACAAATGGCTGGACCCTGAGCAATAGAGGACCATTTAACCCGGACTTTTCTCTCTCTCTCCTCGCAGACTGAATCTTTGATTTTGACATTAAAGAAGCACCTTTTTCTCCTTTTTTTTCTTCCGTGAATAAAATGCTTTACGAGGAGAGTTTTGCACAACAAAACGTTCAATTCATCCAGATAATCGAATTAAACGGAGAGTGAGGTGCAGCTCCAATAAAATCCAGATCAGTTGATTCTTTTGGGAAACCAATCCGGTCTCACGAGACTCTTTTCTCATCCTGCTGAGAACCCGAGTGTAACTTTTTAAGATCTATAAAAAACAAATTTTGCTCTTTCTTTTATTGATTTGGTTTTTATTTGTTTTTGCAGAGGTGCAGAAGCTCTCCAGCTTGGTTCTGCCCAGCGAGGTGATCATCGCCCAGAGTTCAATCCCTGGAGAAGGACTGGGAATCTTCTCGAAGACCTGGATCAAAGCTGGGACCGAGATGGGGCCCTTTACTGGGAGACTCCTGTCCCCTGAACACGTGGATCTGTTCAAGAACAACAATCTTATGTGGGAGGTGAGATAGGACCTGTTATTATTATTATTATTATTATTATTATTATTATTATTATTATTATTATTATTGTTGTTGTTGTTGTTGTTGTTGTTGTTATTATTATTATTAATCTGTAGGTGTTCAATGAAGACGGAACAGTGCGTTACTTTATCGATGCCAGCCAAGAGGACCATCGCAGCTGGATGACTTATATAAAGTGCGCCCGGAACGAGCAGGAGCAGAACCTGGAGGTGGTGCAGATCGGCAGCAGCATCTTCTACAAAGCTGTGGAGGTGAGAAGTTTGTCCGCAAAGAAAAGGCTGATTTTATCACTGAGCAGTTAACGAAAGGCATTTGGCAATTTGCGCAAAGCGGGGACTTTAAAATGCGCAAACTGACGTCATTCTACCCTCACAACTTTGTGTTTTTCTCCGAAAGACTTGTTATCGGAACGAAACGTTGTAAAATAAACACACATGGCGCAATAATTTGAAATGTTAAAATAGAAAACGTTTTCTTTTCTCCTTTCTTCCTTCAGACCATCCCACCAGACCAGGAGCTGCTGGTCTGGTATGGAAACACACACAACACATTCCTAGGAATCCCTGGAGTTCCTGGAACAGATGAAGAACTGCAGAAGAAAAGCAGAAATGGTGAGTAAAATAAGATAAAGTAAAATATGAAATACATCTTTCATTTAAAACAAACTAACGGATGATCCCATCCTCTCCCAGATGACCTCCACTCAAGCGACGGACCTTCCTCCTGCTCTCCCTCCTCCTGCTCCTCTTCCTCCTCTTCCTCCACCACCTCCAGCGGTCGGATGCGCTGCGTCATCTGCCACCGCGGCTTCAACTCCCGCAGCAACCTGCGCTCCCACATGCGCATCCACACTCTGGATAAGCCCTTCGTCTGCCGCTTCTGCAACCGCCGGTTCAGCCAGTCGTCCACGCTGCGCAATCACGTGCGCCTGCACACGGGCGAGCGGCCCTACAAGTGTCACGTGTGCCAGAGCGCATACTCCCAGCTGGCGGGCCTCAGGGCGCACCAGAAGAGCGCACGACACAAACCAGTGGCGCATAGTGCCGATGCGCCTCCGCAGGTGTCCCCTCCTCACCCCCCACAGTTGGCCGCAATCCCGCACCAGATGCCCCTGGTGCGCCACATTCCCACCATGGTGCTATGATGACCAACATCCGGGCAGGAGTTGATGCGCAGCGACGTTTGCACTTTAGATTCCAGTAAAGGATCTCCAGCCTGTTGGAAGCATTTGGCAAAGAAATGTAAATTTATGGCCTTTTGTTAAAAAAAATAAATGTTCATTTGGTGGGAAAATAACGTATTGATGTTTGTAATGTCGTTTCAGACTCACTTGTTGGTGCTTCAAATTCAAAAATTCTACCTTTTTGCATCATGTTTATTTTATTTGATACATTGAGCAGCTCAGGTGGAAACATCCTCAGTCAGAGAATAAAAGGTAAAAGGAAGGGCCACGTTGTTTTTTCACTGTAAACAGAAAATGTCACTTTAAACCTGTACAGACTGGATTGTGTAAATGTAAAATTGTATCTTGTACATGTGAATATAAATACGTTTGTTCTGCTATTCTAAATAAATCATATGAGGTCATTCATAGGCTGGTGAGGATTTTTCCATTTCTCTTCAAAATAAAAGCTCTGCAGGTGCCTGAAAAATGTGTAAACTTTCTCTGATTGCAAAAAAAAATATCTATTAGTTTTTTTTAATTTACCAGATTACAAGAAGTGATCACAGAAATGATCTCTGGTTAAATTTCAAACGGAAAAAATATTAGAAATGGAGTGCAAAAATGTTGTTTAACAAATCAGACGTAAAACAGCAACAGTTTAAGACAAACTATAATTTAAACAGACTTTTAATACATAATTTCATTTATGGTATCAGTCTTTTAAAAGAAGTATTTAATCCATGTAAATGTATCGAACTGAGACTAAATCAAAGCAATAAATAAGACAAATAACTGGTGATGGTATGTTAACCTAAATTTAATTTGCAGTCATTGACATGCTGCATTAGGAGTTTACTTGACATTTTATGGCAGGAAACAAAATGGTTAAAGATTTATTTAAAATAAACTGGGCATGCAAAATCGATTGCGGTTTCACTGTGGCTGTTTTTATTTACATCTTGCGACTGTTTAGAGCAGATCTGTGATGAAAAATAAGATTTTTATATAGAATTTATTCAGATTTTCCAAAAATTGTTGTTTAGAGATGTGACTCTGGGGAAACTCCAAAAGTCCATTGTTTCTTCTTTTTATTACATCTGATATTTAAACATTTACGACTCCAAAATTATGTTCCTTCACCTCAAAGTGCCCATGGGAAACATGTGGGTTTTAGCTCTTACACCAACTTGTTTAATTTAACTTAACCTATAGAAGGAAATTTTTACTCACGTTAAAGGAAAAATCCACAATTCACAAAATAAATAGTAGCTTTTTAGAATTAAACCTCCAGGGAAAATGAAAAACGTCTCATATTCCTCTCATTCCACTCCCATGCTTTCATGCGTTGCCTGTTTTCTGCATTAAGCATCAGGAATGTTTGAATCTAAATGTGGAAATATTTTTTTATAATATTGTGATCATAATAATTTATAGTCTAAGTGTCTGAAAAGTCACAGTCGTATGTGTGATAAACGTTTGTCCTTATTAAGCAAATACCACACAGGGCAGGTAATTTACTTCTGTACTTACGTTTTGTTTCCATATGGTGGCGCCAAACACACAAAAAGACTATTGTAGCAACAAAAACATGAGATAATTTATAAGAAGGACAATAAAATCACCAGAAGCTTTTTAACCAGTTTATTGGGTATGTTTGTTTACTCATATGCATTATTATTATTATTATTATTATTATTATTATTATTATTTATAATTTACTGAATGATGCTTACAGTAGAGTTGGTGTTGTTTTAATCAGCTGTCAGACATTGTCCAGCTTCCTAACGAGGAGTTTTCGGACAGGTCATCATTTCGACAAACACAACACAATTGAACAGATATGTGACACATGCTGGACATTTGGAGCCCTCTTCTGGAAGCATTAAACAGAATTCTGACTGGATGGTTTTGCATCACAGGGCACCGTCCAAACTGTTGCTCCTGCAAAATGAAACAAAACATTCATAAAAATATTCTGAAATATAAAAAAGTGAATGCTTACTAAACAGAGAGCACCTTTACACCCATGTACTGGAAAGGTTGTGGCTTTCCTGGTGGAGCAACAGCAGGAAACTACCCAGTTGACTGCATGACGCAGTCCTGCAGGAAAACAGGTTTATGTCAGTTGCATCAAACTGGATCCCATTCCCATCAGGTTTAAAATGCAGCATTTTTCAACCTAATGATGCATTTTCACGTTTGACTTAAAAATGAGCAATAATTAGGATACAATTCATCTTATTTTAAACATCATTTGCGCAACTTAATGATATGATACAAGCAAACAATTAGAACTTACCAGAGATTAGCAGTCACAGCATTTTCTCTCAATCTATATTTTCTAGTTGGTGTTAACGTGCAACTTTTGGTTTACTTGGCTCATTTGTAACAAGAAAACAGTGACACAGCGTTTTTTTGTCCCATGGGTTCTTGTGGTCTCTGGAGAGCTGCCCACTGAGTCATCGATACTGCTGATACAAGCACGCTGAGTATAGTGTTACTCGTGTTTCGTTCTTTATTTCTTCTGGGGTTTTTTCCCTCAGGAACAATGTAACTTCAAGAGTGTTAATGACTCATGCACATTTGGTATCTGAAAACTATTATTTTGATCACAATTAATACATTTAATAGATAAATAGGTAACATGATGGATGTTTTATTTCTGTTACTTGGCAACACAGTTATCATGCTTGTGTTTAAAACAACTGAGTATATTCTTCTGGCTTTTATTGCCATTGTTTAATTTTCTAGATTCTTAAATCAGCAACAGCCAAGCACAAACAAGTTCATACTCCTCTCAGTCAAAACTCGTGTACCTGTGGTATTTTAAAATGATTTAAATTATGGAAATGAGCTTTTTGTTCTCTCAGATTCAAACGTTTATGTTGTATCTTTCAACTTAGTGCTTTTTCTGTGTTATTTGTTAAATAGTCTTTAGTTTAATTTTGCGTTTATTTTTTTATCTATAGAAAAAATAATTTATGAAACATTTTGTTTGAGATTCATTCACATGTTTAACAGTTGTTAAATTAGTGCATTGAGTTAATTTCACTGAATGTAATTGTTTTATTTAAATTTGACTTGTTTGTCTTTGACCACTAAAGCCCTCTAAAATTTTGTATATACTAATTTACTAAGCCTCAATGTACAACGATTTGTAAATACAGTCTTTCATTTACGTGATGATTATAAGAAAGACACCAATATTTTTGTTTTTTCTTCCTAGTCACTTGTTCACAAACACCAAAATCAACTGAGTTGGTCTTGCTCCAGCGACGATTCTGACATCGATTGGTCGAGTCTCGCTGATGGTGGATTGTTGTCATTTTTCTGGTGCTAGCTTCTAGCTAACCGTTTGTTGGATGCTTTTCTCCAACCGACGTTGATTTATCAGGTGGGTGTCGGTTTTTAAAGAGGTTAGATATTAAACAATTTGCTCAACTGCTTCAGCATTAGCTTTGATTCATTAGAGATACAGAAATACTAAATGCCGTTTGCTAAAAGTTGGTTACAAACGGCAGCTAACAGCTAGTTTAACGCTAACTTGAGCTGTTTAGTTTATCTTCGAATGAATATATTATCTTTGATAAACAAGAAGCTAAAGGTAGAATTTTAACCTCTATTTACCGTCTCAGTCTTCCTCGTGTGGTTTACGTAAAGTGACTTATAATCATTTTTGCGTTCATTTATAAAACTTGACCATGTTAGGTCAACTTGACACGTCTGTATCTATGTTTGGAACTAATGCAGAAAAATAACGTATTAATCAGACTGGTTTGACATTATGATTTTACACTAATATTTCTCCTGACATATTATCATTATTTTTATTGTATTTTTTTGTACAAAGGTACATACACTCTGATGGTTTCTAACAGTTGTCAGGCTCCTATTTTAGCAGCAGTTTGCAACATAAATGTTTATTAAATGTAATTGAATGTGGGTTTGTGTAACATGTTTCACTGAAAAACATTTTCATTGTCAGTATCGGAGTTTATACTCAAAAGGACTATCGCAACATTTTGTGTCATAAAGATATTTCTTTTTATATGTCTACCTTACATTTACCTGTTGTTTATTTGAGATGATGAAGTCAAATTAAGTTCACATAAACAACAAACAACAAAACAAACCATGCTGCAACAGGTGGGGTGTTGTTTAATTCTAATTATTGATCTACAAAGTGTTCAAACCTTTCTGAAGACAACAAGCTACTTTGCTTTAGAGCAGAAGATTTTAAGCTTTAGGAATGAATAAAATTGGTTCGTGTCTACATCTGTGCCTCATTTTTGGTTTGAAAAGCATTCGTTGTCAAACCTTCAAGACTGTTCAGTTAACTTTGGTCAGTGTCTGTAATTTATTTTGTCATATTTCAGATTATCATTATATATTTTAAATTGGGGTTATTGTAATTGCATGTGACTCAGTACTATTCAACCCAAATAAGTAGAGGCTGACTGATATATTGGCCGGCTGGTATATTCAATTTTTTCTATATCTGACAAAATTATTTTTAAAAGCCAATAATAAAAAAAAATAATAAAAAATCAGGCACCTGTGTGGCCAACTGCCACCACTACTAGACTGAAGAAAGGACCCGAAGGACCACAACACACTGTTTTTTTCCCATATCGGTCGGCCTCTACAAATAAGTACCCATACTGATTGTGCCTCAGTTAGATTATCGAGAAGGCATGTAGGACTTAAAAAGAAGTTATAATAGTCCTGTGGTCGAAAAATGACATTTTAATTAAGTTATTTACATTAAATCTCTGACATAGTGATTTCAGCATTTCTACTCTTGTTATTTTCAGTACCGTCCAGAATGAGCCGTTTAATGGCTCTGTCACTTTAAGAAAACAATCTGAAGCTGGCCACGCCACCCATCCCCCGCTCAGGCTGCTATAAGCTGAGAAGCTCTGAGCCTGATGAGTTGCTCCAAAGGTGATTCATCCACTGAATCAAGTGTGTTGGTTCAGAGAAACCACTAAAACGTGCTGGATACGGCCTTCGAGGCCCAGACTTGGAATAGCTCTGCTGCCATAATGGAACAGTTCTTGATGTGGATCATTAAAGTGAACTCCTCAAACCTGGACTAGAATATTCTACACTAATAGCATTATCATTAAACATTGTGTCAGAACTGAAACAAACAAAAATAACTTTAGCTGTTTCACCAAAAACTAACAGCAGTCTTTAGAAATCATTGAACTTGTTTGATTTCCCAGTTAGATTCCCCAAAGTTTAAAAATCAGCGAGGGATTTTCAAACAAAATAATTATGTACTTTCATGAAGTCGTAATTGTAACAGAGAAATGGTTGTTTTTGTGGCATGTTCTTTAGGATGTTAAGATGGAGTGTGGTCCAGTTCTGCCGGACAGCTTGGTTTTGGAGATCTTCCTGCGTCTGCCCCATGATGCTGTGCTGAGAGCGGGTCTGACCTGCAGACAGTGGCTGGCCGTCTCCAGAGATGAGTTCCTGTGGAGGGAGCTGTTCTACAGCTACTACCGGATTCCACGCTCCGTACCTCGACACCCTTGTAAATATATTTAAAACTCATCTTTAACAGACGGGTTCAGTGGTTACTAGTGGTTCAGAGAAAGTGTTCTTATTTTGATTCTGTGTGTGCAGCGGCGTTGTCGTGGTACCGGGAGTTCAGGCGTCTGTTTGACTGTATCCCCTGTGTGGAGGTTCAGACGCTGAGAGAGCACACTGATCAAGTTCTCCACCTGGCTTTCTCTCACAGGGGCCACCGCTTCTCCTCCTGCTCCAAAGACTGCACAGTCAAGGTACACTTAAGGCCTGCGTCTTCATGTCGCTGCTTTACGCTGTGGGACTATTAACAGATTATCTGATCTCAAAACAAAATTTAATATGCAACCATAGTACCCCCCCCCCCCCCTCCAAAACCTGTATCTTTTATGCAGTTTGGTAGTTTTCATATAACTCTGCCAGACGTCTGTCATTCAGTTACTTCTAAAATTCTCCTGCTCTTTGTGTGCAGCTGTGGGACACAGAGCGGCCGGATGGAAATATCTCATTGGTGCACAGCTCCAGTATGAGACCATTAAACTGGGGCTACACCCAGTTTTCCCAGTTCAACCCTGATGATAGTCTGCTGCTTGTGTCGGGGGTCTACCTGGGCCCACACCATTCGTCATCTGGGGAAATTGCTGTCATTAGTATGGGTAGGAGCAAGACAAAATGAATAATTTCCTGTTTTATTTATTTATTTTAGGTTTTAGATATTTTAATGAAAGATTTATTTGTAAAAAATGCAATTTTTCTACTAGAAAATTACACGCTGCTGTCGCGGGTTCGAAACAAACCGTACGATGTGTTTGGCTGCTGGCTGAACGAGACCCACCTGATCTCTGGGAACCTGCACTGGATCGGTAACATGACGTCCTGCTCAGTGCTCTGGCTCAACAAAGCCTTCCAGGTGAGCACATTTCATTCACAGCTTTTACAGGTGTCCCGAAGTTCAAAACCACATCGCTTGGGGTGTTTAATGTAACATATCAAAAACTCAGTGTAAATCAGTTATGTAGTAGCCACGGAGAAACAGTTCATTCTGAGAAAAGCTGGTTTAACACATCAGTTTAGACACATGGCATTGAATTAGCATTTCCCAAGCTGACAGTAAAGCTAGCAGTAATGCTAACTGCAAAATAACGCTAGCTTGAGCTAGTGCAGACGCTAGCCCAAGCCTCTACTAACACTAGCCCGAGATACCGCTAATGCTATAATCAGGTACCGCTAATGCTAGCCTGAGCTACTGCTAATGCTAGCTTGAACTGCTACACACACACACACACACACACACACACACACACACACACACACACACACACACTCACTCGACTGCACTACATGTATATTGTGGTACGCATAATTACCATCTTCTGGCAGAGGTGTAGTCATCAGGGTAAACAGGGCAATCATCACGCAGCTCAATTAATTTCCTGTCCTTGCCAAGTGGGCGTGGCAAACCAATCTTTACATTGAAGAGCTTTATTTTGGGGTTGTAATTGGCCCTTTATCAGGGCTCCTGAACTATTTTGAGCCCTAACACAGTTTCATATGCTATATAGAGGCTCAAAGACTAGTTTCCAATTGTAAAATGTCTTTCTAGAACCTTTTTAAAAGCACTAACAGATTAACGGGTGAAATCAGTGACATTGTATTTTCCTTTATGCCTTTCTAATTCAGGATATTGAGTCGGAGAACGTCAACGTGGTGAAACGTCTTTTCAAGATCCAGAATATCAATGCCAGCACCATTCGAACCGTAATGGTGGCCCACTGTCGTCGTCATGACAACCCAGACTTACTGCTGGACTATGAGGCTCAGTCTCAGGCGAGGAGGGAGAAGGGAGAACAGCAGCATCAGCACCAGCCTCTTTTCTTTGACCTGGGAATGTCTGGCAGTGAGGAAGAGGAGGATGATGAGGGAGAGGAAAAGTGTCACAGGGAAACAAACAGCCAAAGCTTTTCCTCCACGCACCTCCCCCAGCCCACCATCTCAGGCCTGGAGCAAGTTCTTCATGTAAGCTGGGTGTAATCTTTGATATTTTTTAGGATTTTATTTATATTCTTTACTCCACTCATCCATCCTTCTCCCTCTTTTTGCTCCTCTTTCTTTCCAGAGTCGTAGAAACGTGGGGGCGAGGGAGCTGCAGATTGAGACCCATGTTGCTCAGATGATTGGCAGAGCCTACACAAAGGCCCCCGACTCCAGCCTCATCGAGGCTTCTGAGTCGGAGCAGGGAGAAGACCAAACGTATTTACTCTTCACCACCGGCAGCCTTACATACTCCCCTCACCAGATCGGTAAACTAACTTTCTCTAAATGAAACGACGCAACGCTGCTAGATTTCTCCTCTCACGAGGCCGTGTGCCTCCATTTCTAGGCATTAAGAGAATAAAGCCCGACCAGATGACCACTTCTGGTCCTGTGCTGGGAGAAGAGCGAAGCTCAGATGAGTTTTTTGACTCACTGGACCATGTTATCGACATCCACGGCCACATCATCGGCATGGGCCTTTCTCCAGACCACAGGCAAATATAACGTTTTAAATGGATATTTTTGTGCCACACTTATTTTTTTATATCAACAGGACCTTCAATTGTGTTAAACCAGCTAGTTGGATGCAACTAGTGAGAAAACCTTCAAATGTTTATCTGGAATCACTCTGAAGTGGTACTGTTAGATCATGACTCAGCTCTAATTTTATAACGTTTCCAGGTATCTGTACGTGAACAGCCGGGCTTGGCCAGCAGGATGCGTGATCTCTGACCCCATGTTTCCGCCCCCCATCGCCGAGGAGATCGACATGCATGTCATCGATCTGAAGAACTTACGAGAGGAGAGGAGAAGTCTGCGTGCGCATCGGGCCTTCACGCCCAACGACGAGTGCTTCTTCATCTTCCTCGATGTCAGCAGAGACTTTGTTGCAAGGTGAGTTCCATACGGTTTGGACTGAGGTTCTTTTCATTCTGCAGAATCTGTAAACTGTTGATATTTAAGTATCCTGTCGGCGTTGTCCACTTGCTAACGCATAGCTCAATAGCAAAACACGACATTATGGGGAAGATTTAGGCAATGTTAGTTTCATATGTATGTTGTCGGGCATAAACGCAAAGATTAGTCATGATAGAGATTATTTCAAAACCTGTTTGGGTGTAAAAGTCAGCCTCCTGGGGTGTTGGCTTGAGCTTTTTCCTTCTAGCACAGCAGTGACAGCATTTGACTTGTGGGTGTTTTTAATAATCTGTTGCTGGGGATTTTATTCATTGTGATTAATACAAAGGAGATCACAGTTGTGTGTAGGTGTCTTGGGAAATTCATCATACATCTTGTGGTTTTTAACTATTTTGTTTGAAAGTTTATTAGAAAATTACTCAGAATAACTGTAACATATAAGAACACAAAGGTCTCATTTTTAGTCACTAGTCATTATTTTTTAAAGATTTGTTTTTAAACTGCAGAGGAGAATCATTCCTTCAGCCAAGCTACAACGTGTAGTTCTTACCGTTTATCTCTAGATATATCCTTCGAAATTTTGTTTAAAACGAAATAAATGATGCCCAGTTGTGAAATGCTGGTGGCTTCGTAACATATAACCATAAAATTGGGTCTAAAATGCATGGGAGCAGGTCTAAGTCATAGACGTATTAGACGCCAGGTTTCCTCCTACGGGAGCCTGTGAGGACAAAACAAACTTATTGATTTGTAACACGCAGTTACCAAACTTTCACCATTCATACACCTTTTACACATTTACCTCTTCACTCGACGCCAGTGATGAAAGGGAGACTGGCGTGCTTGTCATTTTGCTGGAGGTTGAACAATCTGATGAAGTAATCGTTTGAAAATTGTGCTCCAAGGGATATTTTACTCTAGTGGGCTTCCGTTGGTAAGGTCTTACTCGAACACAAAAATACTGCTTGCTTGCAATGATTTAGGTATGTACTGCCCCCATCACCTGGGAAATTATACATCGATCTTTAAAGTAAAAACTGTGTTGCATCTGTGCATGAACTTGGTCTCCTTTTCTGTTTCTGAAACCGCATTTGAACAGTCTAACTGAAACCTGTAGCCATCTTGAGGTTTCAGATAAATGGTAAATGGCCTGTATTTGTATAGTGCATTCTTACCCCGGCTTTCCACGGGAGCCGTCAGCAGCACGTTACTGCAGCAGCACGTCATAGCTGCTGATAGGAACCGCTGTGGTCAACAGAACCTTTTCCACTGGAGCCGTCAGCAGCCGTCAGCAGCGCGAGTCGGCCGCGTCTCAGGAGCAGCATGTCGCGGCCTTTACGCGCCGGTTCTATTTTCTACGCATGACACCTCTGAAACGGGTCAAGTTCGACATTTTTGGGGAAGGAAAGACATGAAATCGGACGCGGAAATGGAGAGAAGCTCCAGAGATTTTCAGAATAAAGAACGTACTGCCTTCCGGTTGCTTTACTTTTTAAAAAGTTACTAAATGTGCGGCCCCGTGAGAAGTTATCACCTAGCTAGCGGTCTCCTTTGTTTTTCAGGTCCGTATTGGCGATTATAAAACGGACAGAACATAGAACACAAACCATGTTGTAGTTTTCTCCTGCTTGTTGTTGTGTTTACTGACGAAGTCACTCGTGTGACTTCGTGCTCGGTCGGTGACAGCTGCTCCCCTGCTGCTTCGCGTCTCGTGGGAAGGGCCAAGCAGCAGTTTACGCGAGCAAGACGTGCTGCTGACGGCTCCCGTGGAAAGAAGGGGTTAGGGTTCTACAACCCCCCAAGGCGCTTCACAACACAATCAGTCATTCACACATTCACACACTGGTAGGGATGAGCTATGATGTAGCCACAGAGATGAGGCCTGCCACACACAGGCGCCACTGGTCCCTCTGACCACCACCAGCAGGCAAGGTGGGTTAAGTGTCTTGCTCAAGGACACAACAACAGCCATCTCTGGTGGGAGCTGGGATCAAACCTGCAACCTTCCGATTACTGGACAACCCGCTCTACCTCCTGAGCTACTGCTGCCCCTAAATGAACACAAACGATGCTTATTAGTCATGGCTTTTTTGCTTTTTACAACAAAAATTGTAATTTTTAAGAATTTCTTTAAATCATCTCAAAAGCCTTAACTGAAAATTGTGTGACCTGCAGTGATGTCACCACTGGTTCTTTAAGAACCACTAACCTTGAGTCCAGATTCAGTGAATTATAATTGATCCAGCAACTCCTGAAGAAACTAATTACATTATTCTTGACCAATTCAGGTCTGATTTTTATTTTCTTACACAAAAACTTAACTAAATATGTTTTATATTAAATCAACTAAATACATTTAACATGCTCTACAAATCTGTACGCTGCACACCTGTTTTACTACAAACATAAATAAATCTGAGAATAATTATAAGTGGCTTGAGTAAGGTAACGTAAAGCATCAAACTTATGTCCTACTGGAATTCCACCGACTTATCCTAACATTCCCGTCCCCTGTAGCGGAGCAGAGGACAAGCACGGATACATCTGGGACCGCCACTACAACATCTGCCTGGCACGTCTGGCTCACGACGACGTCGTGAACTCGGTGGCCTTCAGCCCCGCTGACCAGGAGCTGCTCCTGTCCGCCAGTGACGACTCCACCATCAAGGTGTGGCGTTCGCCTCGTATGGTCCGGCTCGCACAAGCCTCGGCCCGACAGCTGAAGCCCCGCAGCCTGCTGACGTCCTGGCTGATGCGAAGCAGGAACTCTGCGTTGGCGGGTGGCGTGAACGGAAAGCTGTGAGGCTGGAAAACAGGTTCATGTGGGAGAGAGCACAGCAAGGAGAATTTGACCTTCTTCCTCTGTGGTATGAACACACTCCACGTTTATGTAAAGCGTGTGTGTGCTTTTACTTGGTGTGGTGACCTGAAGCAGATATCAGGCATCTTCAGCTGCCAGAGGTGGCTCAGACACTAGGGGGCGATGTTGTCACAGCACACAGAAGAAACACCAACTTCTGCTGGTCTGTTGCAGAATAAAGCTGACACCTAAATTGTATCCAAAGGTTTTCCCAGGAGACGGAGCCGTCCCTCACAAACGACACGATTCTGGACTCCTGGACATGAGACGTGATCACGTCATTCTCATCTGGGGTCAAGTGCAGTGACTGAACGTTACAAAGTTTTTTCTTATCGTTATGAATCTCTAAATATTGTCTCCAGCCTAAAATCTTTATCAAGTGTGTTTTCAGAGAGTTATAAAACAGTTTAAAGGGACAGAAAAGATAAATCTGTGTTTAACGTAGTCTTCCTTGGTTTTATTCCTGTCAGATTCTGGTTTTGTGTCTCAGAAATAATCCATCGTTACTGTATGTACTTCTAGAAAATAGATTATATTAATATACCAGGTAGGTGGAGGAGAAGCCAGCACAAAGCATGACTCTGAATCATCAAAATGCTGTGAGCGTGTCACAGATGAAAATTTAATTGAAAGTGTATTTAGGACCCTGTTTCAGTTATTATCGGCACAAAGCTGCACCGTTTTAATTTGGGAGAGTCTCCTGTGACACGAGAAAAAACCTACCCACTTGATTTGTTTCATTCAAATGTTTCCTTTCCCTTAAACATAAGAGGATTTTACATTTAGTTTAAAAGCTTTTAATATTGTGCATTTGAGTGCATGGTGCCTGAATAAAAAGATCATTTTAGCTCATTATTATAGCTAATATGACTTATTTCTCTTTATTAATGTGCACACTGGACATGTCGTGATTTTTATTTTTAAATTTAAATATTATAAAAGCTATAAACAATTTTACTGAGCAAAATCTGAATTCTTAAGCTCAAAATCTTTATTTAAATAATTAATTATCCTTAATATCAATAAACATTTGCATTGCTTTGGCTCTGTTTGAAAGTCAAAATTTGCACTATTGGCTATCCACCTTATTTCTATCCCTGTGAGCCTTTGCATGAAAATGCGACCGACTTCCGGTCCGGAGCCTAAGTCACGTCCATCTACTTCCGCACCATGGGTCCCCGGAAGAACAAAAAAAATGAATGCACGCCAATGGGGCTAAAAAATGCTATTTTCTAATTCCGCTTGTTATGTGCCATGGGTTTCACATATGATGTCCGTGAATTTTAAAGATGCATTTTGATACCAAGAAGGGGCTTATTTTCAAACTGTGGGAAACGTTATTTTTTTGTGAAAATATGTCCAGGACTACAAATTCCCTTCACGACAGTGACTTCATCGAACCAGACACAGAGAAAAACAGGGAAAATGCTGTAAGTTCAGCGAACTTCAAATCCTTCTTTCAGGAGGATAGAACCACCATAAATCTGGCCATGTGGTAAGAAGCAGCTACGCTAGGGAGAAAAGTTTCTGTGGTGACGTCATATATGCGATGTGCCGATGTCTAATTTGTAGTCATGCTATTACAAACATTTACAAGTTGATAATAAATATCAAAGTACTTGACAAGCATGGCCGAAACACCCATCATTAGTTTTCATTTAAATTGCAGTACAACATATGTGCGATCCGGGGGAAAAAGACAAAACGGATTAGAAATGAGCTCTTTTAGCCCCATTGACTTCCATTCATTTCTCATTCTTCTGGGACCCATGAGCCGACCGGAAAGGGAGGAGACTTCGGCTCCCTACAAGACTCATCCGTCCTAATCTTCTTTTAATGGGAGACAGAAAACATGAGTGAACACCAGCTGCCACAGCTCAAACAGGACACCATTACTCTAGAGTCTACATTATAACTATTCAGAAAATTGTACACATGAAATCATACCTGGTGTTGTGAGACTACTCCCTTTACCACCTGGCGTCTCTTCTCCGGAGGTGGTTCATATCACAACAACAAAGTAGGATGCAGGTTTTCCTCCCTGGGGTTTTCACAACAAAATTTAAGGAACACGCAAA